CTGGCGATCTCGGCGACCTTGACGACGCGACGCAGCTGCCCGGCGGCGGCGCAAGCGGCAGCGGCAAGGAGGCGCTGCTGCAGAGCACCGTCGGCCCGGTGTCCGTCAACGCCCTTGTGGAGATGGTGCTGCTGAGTATCCGCCGCATGGACATCATGACGGAGCAGGGCATCCAGGCCCTCCACCTGCAGGGACTGGAGCGCATGCAGTACGCTGCCGCGAAGAAGGCGCAGCGCGAGGAGATCCTGCGACAGCGCCGCATCGAGCAGCAGGGCGTTGAGGGCATCCCCGTCGGTCGCCTGCTCGAGCACCTCAAGGAAAGCCCTGCGATGTACGCGAGAGGCACGCAGCTGCTCGACAGTGAGTCTGGGCTCGCGGTGATGCTGCGTGCGGGCTTCTTCTCGCTGCTCGACGCCTACGACACGGTCGCAGAGGAGACGGAGGTTCGCGTGCGTGAGGTACAGGCACTGATTGCGCGTGCGCTGGCGCAACTCCCATCATCGATGATGGACTCGGCCCTCGATGCCGTGTGCGTGCGGCTGCGTCGCGACCTTCAACAGTACCGCAATAGTAGCAGCAGCAGTAATAATAATGATAATAATGCGCGCGACAAGGCAGCGCCGTCGCCACCACCAATCACGTCAGCTTACCATCTCACGATGCAGGTGCTTTTCACGCTCTTCTCCGCGCAGGCGCCGGTGCGGGAGCGGGGGGCCAACGCGTTTGCCTTCATGAGCGCCATCACTGCCGCGCCGGAAGAGGAGGACGGGGCGTCGCTGCAGCTGCACTCCCACGCCACCTTCACCATAGACACCGACAACCCGGTGGAGTGGCTCCAGTCCACGCATGACAGCGTCGGTGCGTTCGGCGACCGCAAGCGTCCACGCGAAGCGGAGGCGGGTGTGCACAATGACGGGGACAAGAACGGGGAGACGTCAGCCGACGGCGCGTCACGTTTCTTCCGCGACGACAGCGTTCAAACGCCGTGTGTGTACAGTCACTTGCTGTGCCGCGTCATGGAGCTACTGACGGAGGCGGAGCAGCCGGCGCTGCTCCTCGACGCTCTGCTGCAGTGCCCGCGCCTCACACGCTACGTGTGGCACTACATTCACAAGCACTACTGCCTCTCTGCGGAGAAGGCGCGTTGCCTGCTGGGCATGTGGCTCCTGAAGAACCTCGCGGTGAAGCGGGTGGTGTATCGCCGCTACGCCGTGAACAGCCTGCTGCACCTCGCTGCTGCGTGGAGTGAGTACCCGCGGCGACTGGCGGTGACGCAGTTGGGTGCGCTACTCGCCGCTGGTGGCCCCGACGGCCGCCGCGTCATTGACAAGAGCGCCGAGTCGCTGCTGGTGCGTTACGCGAAGCGGCAGATGGCGGCCATCCCACTCGCGAAACTCCCTTCGCCCTCTTCTGGTGGTGGCAGTGTCGTTGTTGATGTCACAGCGGCGAAGAGTGAGGACAACACTGACGTCGCCACGCTCCGCGAGAGGGAGATGCGGAAACTCGCCGACGCGCTTGACCGGCACCTCGGGCCTTTTCTCATGCTGTGCGCGCGGCAGCCGAAGGAGCTCTTCCCCGCTCTCTTTAGCGTCTTCAAGGAGTGCGTGGAGCGGCAGAATGAGGCGATGATACATCTGCTCGCCGAGCACGTGGATGTGCGGCGCATGTGCCAGCGGTTGTTCCGGGTGGGCACGCTGGCGTTCATGTCGAACGTCATGCCGTTCCTGCGCCGGCACAGCGGCGACGCCACACTGCTGGTGCAGAAGATACTCTGGGCGATCAGCGCTGAGTTGCGGTTAATGGGACCAGGGACCGATGCAGCGGCTACGGATTTAGAGCAAACAGCTGTAGCGCTGCTGGGGCATGCGCGTGTGATGTTCGACGGCAGCGCAATCCCGCTGTTGTACCGCGCCGTCTCTTCTGCTGGCGCCACAGTGGACGACACTGCGTCTCTGCACGATGTGCGGTTTATCGCCCCTTTTATGAGTCTTGTTACGGCGGAAGAACTGAGGCGGGTGTACCTGCGTGCGTTCCTGCACTTTGTACAAATGCAACTCCAGCAGCAACAACAGGCCGCCACCGCTGCTGTGGGGGCGAATGCAGCAGGTGGAGTGGCGCACATGCGGGGCGAGGAGCTGCACCAGTTCATCCAAGATGTCGTGCGTGAGGTGCTGGTGCGGTCCTCTGTGCGGATCTCCGACGGCGCTTCTCGTGGTCTCTCACGCGTGGACCTCCTCATCTACCTGCACCGCGCGCCACACGAGTCCGTCGCCACTGACGCTCATGCAGCGCACAGCCAGGCAGCATCGGCGTCGTCCGGTGTGGCGCGGGCGGAATCACGCGGCATTCTCGGTGACGCCAATCCATCCTCGTCCCCGTCGCCTGCTGCTGCTGCTGCTGCAACAGCTGCTGTGGCCGCCAAGTCGCAGACTGCGGAGGACCTCCCAATCAGTACACTCACAACGAAGGAGGTCATTGGCGTGCTGCTTAGGCTGTCACGCACCTTTGACGACGCCACAGCCGAGCTTCTGTATGGCCCCGAGGAGATAAAGAGCGCGGTGCGGCAGCTGATGCAGCACAGCGGCGGGGCGCCTGTCCCCTCGCAACTGATGGCGACCCTGATCCTTGCCTGTGGCATTCACGCTCAGCGGCCCCACACGGACCTTGTTCGCTTTGTTCATCAAGAGGTCCTTTTACCGCTTGCGAAGGACGCAACGTGGGAGAAGGACATGCAGCTCTGGCGCGGTGTCTTGTTCTTCGCGGAGGCGTACTACCGGGAGTGTAGCAGTTTTCTCATCAACCTGCCCGATCAGGTGCTCATCGACGCGCTGCGTGCCCGCACCCAGCTGTGTGACTACTTCAAGGAGGAGCACGGCAACAACGCCTCCTTTGGCCACGTCTTGGGGAGTCTCTAGACGCGGGGAGATAGGCATAAGGACGACGACGACGACGACGACGAAGAGAGGACACACAAGCATAATGCCAAAGACATTTCTGTGTGGGCTATTTTAAAGGCATGAAGGAGAGGANAAGGAGGAGCACGGCAACAACGCCTCCTTTGGCCACGTCTTGGGGAGTCTCTAGACGCGGGGAGATAGGCATAAGGACGACGACGACGAAGAGAGGACACACAAGCATAATGCCAAAGACATTTCTGTGTGGGCTATTTTAAAGGCATGAAGGAGAGGAGGAAAGAACGAAAAACAAAAAAAACATACACACAAAGCAAGAAGAAACGCCTCTGAATGAATGTGACATGTCAAATTTCGCCCCGCCCTTTCGTCTTGTGTCTGGGAAAATATTACTCCACCCCTTTTTCTCTCTTTAGCAGCAGGTGGAAATGTAGCATGGTGACTCCCCTCTGCTCCACCATGCACACACACAGACACACAGACAGACACACAGACAGACACACAGACAGACACACAGACAGACACACAGACAGACACACAGACAGACAGACAGACAGACAGACAGACAGACAGACAGGCACAGACGCATGCTCATATGCATGCGGCATATATTCGTACATGCATGNTGAATGAATGTGACATGTCAAATTTCGCCCCGCCCTTTCGTCTTGTGTCTGGGAAAATATTACTCCACCCCTTTTTCTCTCTTTAGCACCAGGTGGAAATGTAGCATGGTGACTCCCCTCTGCTCCACCATGCACACACACAGACACACAGACAGACAGACAGACAGACAGACAGGCACAGACGCATGCTCATATGCATGCGGCATATATTCGTACATGCATGGGGGGGTCTGTCCCTCTCGCTGTCTGAGTGTGAGCGTGGGGGGGTGGGAGTGGAGGTGAGAGGCTCCTCCAGGGGGGAGGAGAAGGAAGGGGGCACGGCTGCTTAGCACAGTGGCAGTGCACCACTCTCGTAAAGTGGGGGTCGCGAGTTCGATTCTCGCAGTGGCCTTACTTTTTCTCCCCCTACCCCGCCATATCACGTCAGGCATGCATGAGGGGCGGCGGCTGCGGCTTTTCGTCCTTCGCATTGGAAGGGAAGTGGAATTGGCCAGAAAACGAAAAAAAAACACTTGTGTTTTCAGGGAGGAGGCGCGCTATGTCCTGGTGTATCTCCAACTTGGTGTTGGTTTGCGTTCTGATTG